TCCTCCACCAAATTAGGGAAGTTTTCTTTCTTTTTTTTTTTTTTTTTCAAATAAATTTTCAGTTTCTTTTCCTCTTCTCCTTCTGGCATTGTTATGATTGGGGTGTTGGTATATTTGAAGATGTCCCAGAGGCTTATTATTCTATCCTCATTTTTTAAAATTCTTTTTTCTTGTTAGCATTCTGAGTGTGTGCTTTTTTCTTTGTTATATTCCAATTTATTGACTTGATATTCAGTTTTATCCACTCCACTATTGGTTCCATGTAGATTATTCTTTATTTCACTTAATGTAACCTTCATTTCTGCCTAGGTCTTTATCATGCTATTGCCATACTGAGTGAGTTCACTGAGTATCCTTATAAGCAGTGTTTTGAACTCTGCATCTCATAGGTTGGTTATCTATGTTTTGTTTAATTCTTTTTCTGGAGTTTTATTTTATTCTTTCAATGGGGCTATATTTCTTTGTGCCCTCATTTTGGCAGCTTCCCTGTGTTTGTTTCTGTGTTTATGTAGAGCTACTTTGACCCCGTGTCTTAGTAGCCTGGCCTATTTTAGAAGATTGTATCTGTTAATAGTGTGGGACAGTGCCTTAGATGATTGCCAGTGTGGGGCAACCCCTTTTACCACTTTGTGGCTCTGTAGGGGAGAGCACTCAGAGAGGAGACATTGTGGATGCCTAGCTTCTGGTGGTTTTCCTGGGAGGAAGCTGTCTCCCAGCCTCTGCCCTGTTTCTAGTCTCTTTGCTTTCTCCTCATATGCCACTTGTGCCCTTCCAGCTGTTGCCCTGGTGCTGAATCCTAGAGGAGGTGGGTCTGTGTAAATCCTACGTCTATCCAGGACCTTTAAGATGAGTCTCCTGATAATCTGGCAGTTTCTTCCACACCCCATGTCCACTTTTTTCACAGTCAGAAGTTATTAGGATTTATCTTCGAGGTGCTGGAGCCCTGGGCTGCTGGGTAGTCGGGTTTGGGCCAGTGATCCTGTGCACCTGAAATATCCCTCCCAGTTTTTATCTACCACATGTGAATGTGGTACGGCCCATTCTGCTGCCTCTCCACACTGCCTCCACAGTATCGTGCCTTTCTGCGCCTCTCTACCTCTCTTCACATCTCCACCCCTCCTACCCATCTGGATGAATGTGACTTCTTTAAATCCTTGGTTGTTGGACTTCCTTACAGCTCGATTTTCTGATAGTTCTGGGTGGTAGTTGTGTTATAGTCTAGATGTATTTTTTCTGTAGTTGCAAGAAGAGGCAAAGTGTGTTTACCTATATCTCCATCTTGACCAGAAGTCCTTATTTTAATCTTTTTATCATGAAAAATTTTAAATATATGCAGTATGGAGAGTAATATAATGAATCCCCACGTTCACCATTCACCTAGCTTCAAATTTTACATTTTTATTTTTTTATTGTTACTTTTTTAAATTGAATTTATTGGGGTGACACTGGTTAACAAAATTGTACAGGACAGCTTTTACATTTTAAAAAATATATTTGTGAAAAAATCAAATAGGATTGAAGGGTATAAATTCTGGACAGTGCCCCTCTACATATACCCTTTCCTGCAGTTTCACTCGTCATAGTAACCACTGTTGACTCTTGTGAATGCCTTTAGAAGTAGTTTCTGCATATTTAAACATTTTGTTATTTTTTAAGAAAAACTGTAAATGGACCCATAATACTTGTACTTCAGTTATCCCCCTGCTTACAAGTATACCTTGGATATTTTTACATAGCTGTACATGCAGATCTTTTATTTCATTGCATTCCATTGAATGACTATATAGAAATTTATTAAACCCCTGTTGGTGGACATTTTGCTTATTTCTAGAACCTTCTATTGTTATTTTAAATAGTATTACAATATTATATTTGTGTACTTGTGCAATTTTTTGTGATAAATTCCTGGAAGCATGTTGCTTTATCAAAAACACATGCTAATTGAAAACTTTTATCAGTATTGCCAAATTACCTTCCAAAAAATTGTAGTAAAATTTACGTTCTGGTATGAAAATGTTCATTTCTCCCTATGCTTGCTGAGCATTATTAAACTTTTAATGTTTACCAATCCTAATAGGTAAGATAGTAATTAGTTGTTTAAATGTGATTACAACTTTTTCCTTAAGAGATAGGTATAATTCCTCATTTAAAGCATTCATTGACTTAGCAAGTGTTCAACAAGTATTTATTGAGTTAATTAAATAACGGAAGGGAGAGGGAATAACAATTAGGAGAAGCCACCCAAAAGAAAATGTGAGATTAGCGATGGGGTATAGGAAAGAGGAGTCAGAAAAAGTTCTTAAACTAGTGACCAGAAGTAAAAATGACAGGAAAACAAAATAAAGCATTCATCAAGCATTTCTCTATTTTGAATGTAATAGGTTTACAACAATAAATTTAGCGAAAGAAATGAAAGCTGAGTGATTATTTAAAAATTTAGAGAGACTTCTGGTCAAGATGGTGGCACAGGCAGACATGACTTGCCTCTTCACAAAACCACATCAAAATTACAACTAAAATATAGAACAGCCATCACTCAGAACCATCAGAAATTGAGTTGAGTGGAAGTCTGACAACTATGGAATTAAAAAAATCACATTCATCCAGACTGGTAGGAGAGGTGTAGATGCAGAGCCATGGAATGGTCTGGTCCTACATCCACAGGTGGTGGATAAAAATTCAGGAGGGGTATCTTGGGAATGAGGAGTCTCAGCCCACACCAGACTCCCAGCCCAGGGTCCCAGTGCCAAGAAGATAAGTCCCTGCAACTTCTGACTGCAAAAACCAGTAGGGTTTATGTTAATGGAAGAAACTTCTGGAGCCCCAAGCAGGGCCTCTTAAGAACCCACACATGGTCTCACCTACTCAGACTCAATTCCTCTGAAGTCCAGCACTGGGGTAACAGCTTGAAAGACACCAGTGTCATACAGGGAGAAATTGAAGTGTTTGGCATCAAGGCAAGTGGAGTTCATTGTTCATTTTCTGAACCCTTCCCTGACTGAGACACAGAGCCCAAAAGCTAGTGCCATCTCTGAGAATTCATCAACCTGGTTAACACTGTTTGACCTACCTTGGAGATCCCCAGAGACTCTGCCCCACTCAACTTATGGGCCTACCCAAGCTGCTTTTCCACATGATTGGCTAGTCTTGGCTCATGCTTCACAACTCCCTAAAACATCAAAAAAGGAACTGCTGGCCTCAGTGAGTCTCAGGCTTGCCACTAATAGCAGCCAGCCTGGATTCACAGTATGGCTTCACCGGGGAATCTCCAAGCCTAGCTAGCATAAGTAGCAGCTATCTAAGATTGCTTTATAGCTCAGGCAAGGTGGCCCTGGGCTAAACACACATGGAGGCTGACCTTGCCTAGCACCACCCAGGAAATCCCAAAGCCTGCGCACCTGGTGGGCAGCTGCTGACCATGTCATAGCACTACCACCCTGCCCCTGCACAGATGATCCTCCATGGATGGCGGAGGATGGTGGTTAGTGGTCACAGCCAATGCTTGCAGCTGACTGGCCTGGGTAAACCCCTTCCATTGACCTGCCAACAGCAATCAAAGCTCAAGTAGAGGAGGAGAGTGTATACAGCCACATACTAAGGGTGCATCTAGAGTACCCAGCTTTGGTGATAGGGGAAGCTATGCCACTGGACCCTACAGGATATCTACTATATTAGGCCACACTCCAAGACACAGAGTCACAACAGCTCTATTTAATACATAGAAACAAACACAGGGAGGCTGCCAAAAAAGGAGACAAAGAATCATGGCCAAAATGAAAGAAAATATTAAAACTCCAGAAAAAGAGCTAAAGGGAATGGAGATAAGCAAGCTATCAGATGCAGAGTTCAAAACACCGTTTATAAGGATGCTCACTAAGTTTAGTGAGGACCTCAGCAGAACAAAAAAGATCCAGTCAGAAATGAACGATACACTAAGTGATATAAAGAAAAATTTACAGGTAAACAACAGTAGAATGGATGAAGTCAAGAATCAGATCAATGATTTGGAACGTAAGGAAGCAAAAAACAACCATTGGAACAACAAGAAGAAAAAAGAATTTAAAAAAATGAGGGTAGTATAAACAGCCTCTGGGACAACCTTAAGTGGTCCAACATTCACATTATGGGTGTTCCAGAAGGAGAAGAGAAAGAGCAAGAAATTGGAAATATATGTGAAAAAATAATGAAAGAAAACTTCCCTAACTTGGTGAAGGAAATAGACATACAAGTCCAGGAAGCACAGAGTCCCAAACAAGATAGATGCAAAGCACTCCAAGGCACATCATCATAAAAAGGCCAAAGGTGAAAGGTAAAGAGAGAATCTAAAAAGCAGCAAGAGAAAAGCAGTTAGTTACCTATAGGGGAGTTCTCATAAGACTGTCAGTTGATTTCTCAAAAGTAACTTTGCAGTCTAGAAGGGATTGGCAAGAAATATTCAAAGTCATGGAAAGCAGAGTCCTACAGCCAAGATTGCTCTACCCAGCAAAGCGATCATTTAGAATCGAAGGGCAAATATAGAGCTTCCCAGACAAGAAAAAGGTAAAGGAGTTCATCATCACCAAACCAGTACTGTATGAAATTTTAAAGTCTTATTTAAGAAAAGAAGATCAAAATTATGATCAATAAAATGGCAAAAATACATGTCTATCAACAATTGAATTTAAAAAACAAACTAAACAAACAAGAATAGAGTCAGAATCATGCTTGTGGAGAGCATTTAGTTGGTTGTCAGATGGGGGAATAATGAAGAGGTGAAGGGATTAAGAAATACAAATAGGTAGTTACAGAATAGCTTTGGTGATACAAAGTACAGTACAGGAAATGGAGTAGTCTAAGAACTTATATGCATGACTCATGGTCATGAACTTGTGTGGAGATTACCAGAGGGAGTGAGGAGTTCTGGGTGAAGGTGGGGAAAAGAGGGGAAAAATCTAAACAACTGTAACAGCATAATTAATAAAATATAATTTCAAAAAATTTAGATATTTATTCTTTTCCAGCAGCCTCAAAACCAATTTTAGATCCCATCATTACTGTTGAGGGCCTTAGAAAACGTGCGAGTCGCAATCCTGTGGAATCGGCCATGGAATTAAAAGAGAAAAGATCTCGTACTCAGGAAGCAAAAGACATTAGAAGAGCACAGAAGGAAGCAGCTGGCTTTCTTGACAGGAGCACTTCTTCAACCCCAGTAAAATTCATAAGCCGAGGCCGCCGGCCTGATGTAATTCTAGAAAAAGGAGAAGTGATTGACTTTTCATCCTTGAGCTCCTCTGACCGCACTCCGCTGACAAGTCCATCTCCTTCTCCTTCTCTGGATTTCTCTGCCCCTGGGACTCCTGCCTCTCACTCAGCCACACCTAGCTTGCTTTCGGAAGCAGATCTGATTCCAGATGTGATGCCACCACAAGCCTTATTTCATGGTAAGACTTAACCCTTTGTGGGTCTTTTATGTATGGCCCATGATATAAAAGTGTATGCTTTCACCTTGCATGTGGTGTGCTTTGCATTTCTTCTGTTTTGTTTTATGCTCTGCACAGATGATGATGAGATGGAAGGTGATGGAGTCATAGATCCAGGGATGGAGTATGTCCCACCCCCTGCTGGGTCAACAGCTTCTGGGACAGTGGTTGGGGGCAGAAAGAAGGTCAGAGCACCCGAGCAGATAAAGCAGGAAGTAGAGAGTGAGGAGGAAAAACCCGACAGGATGGACATTGACAGTGAAGACACAGATTCCAACACATCTTTGCAAACAAGGGCTCGAGAAAAGAGGAAGCCACAGCTGGAGAAGGACAGGAAACCTAAAGGGTCCAAATACACCTCTGTGAGCATCTATGAGGAGAAATTGCTTCTGAAGAGGCTGGAAGCTTGTCCCAGTGCTGTTGCTATGACACCAGAAGCTCGGAGGCTGAAGCGTAAATTGATTATCAGACAAGCAAAAAGGGAGAGGGGCTTACCACTTTTTGACTTGGATCAAGTAGTTAATGCTGCTCTTCTGTTAGTTGATGGAATTTATGGAGTCAAAGAAGGAGGAGTTTCCAGTCTTCCGGCAGCCCAAGCCACATACAGAACCACCTGTCAGGACTTCAGAATCCTTGACCGATACCAGGTGAGTTAGCACACTGTCTCTAATTCAGGGTGGGAGTGGAGGTGGGGCAGGCAGCACCATGGAGTGGACACAGTTATGCTGTGACTGTTAAAGTCCTGAGTAATTTTGGGAGAGAAACAAAAACGCAAAAAAGAAAAATACAAAAATTGCTGGGCTTAATTTTTTGAAATAGCTTAGTCTGAATACCACTTCATACATCTGGGGTTTTTCCCTCTTGGAGCATTCAAGGCAGAACCTAGACATTTTCATTGTATTATTTTGTCCCTGAGGGTAGCTGTCCATGGTTTGTTTCATAGCTTTGATTGATGGTTGTATTGAGAACGTTAGTGTACCAGATCCTGTGCTTAGCAGGATCTGAAAACATGTAAACATCTGTGTGGTTAGGAGACAACATGGAGACATAGCAGCCAAGGAATCAGTGTGGTGTCAGCGTTGTTTGAGATGATTTAGTGGAACCCAAGTCTAGGTGTACTCGGGAGCAATGAATTCCATTCAAACTACCAGAACCACACCTTCACACAGGAATGAGAGGTCTTATATTTCCCTGTATCTTTGCTAGCACTTGTTCTTACCAGCCTCTGACTAGTTAGCTAACTGAGAGCTGTAAAGTGAATTTGTTTGATTATCAGTAAGGTTAAACAGTTTTCATATTCCCCAGTTGTTTCCCTGTGAATTGCCTGTTTGGATTCTTTGCACATTTTTCTATCTTGTTTTTTGGCAACTAATGGGCTTTTCTCTTTGTTGCCACTGTTCTGGTATTATTCAGTAGTTTCGGGCTTTTTTTTTTCATTGTACTCAGTGTTTCACGTGTGGGCCCTCTCAATTTGAAACTCTCCTTGAGTTACAGAAAGTCTTTTTAATTTCCTATCTTCTGGTTTCTCTGTTCTGTCTTTTCAGAGTACTACTATTAGACCAAGGGTTAGCAAACTTTTTCTGTAAAGGGTCAGATAGTAAATAGTTTCTGCTTTGCAGGCCACATAGTCTCAGTTGCAACCATCTTAACATTACTGTTGTATTGTGAAAGCTGCACAACACATAATACATGGGCGTGGCTGTACTCCAGTAAAACTTTATTTACTACAAAACAGGCTAGATTTGGGCTATAGTTTGTCATTGACCCCTACTCCAGATCTATCCCCTTAATATTTTTTCTCCTATTTCTCGTCTTTCCTGGGGAGTAAAAACCTGCCTGTCTGCATCCTAGGAGCAAGTAGGGGGCGGGTGTGGGAGCTACCCCATCAGCTGGTAAACTTCCACTGAATGTCTCTGTTTTTAGGGCAGTACTTCCACCCTTGGCTGTGTCAGGTGCCCCTGTATCTAGAATCTCTTGAGCCTCTGCAGAGTGTAGTCTTCTTCCCATGGAGGGGAATATCATTTCTGCATATGAGCAGTGGGGGCTTTAACCCCTTAAATAAGAGACACTCAACTTTACTAGGACCTGGTGTCCCCAGTTGCTGCCCTTTCCTGAGGCTCTGGCCTATAAATCATACTGCTCCTGGCCTGTCCTCACTGCTGCCTTAAGTTTTGCCTCTCTAAGTCATTGTCACTTATTCATATGCTTTTGTTGCCATCATCTGTTTTTTGTTCTCATGGGTTTGCTTTTTTAACATGTATACTTTATTTTTTTAAATTATGAAATGTGTCATATCCATTGAAGAATGCGTAGAACATATGAGTATAGTTTATAGAGACGAATAAAATAACTACCTATGCCTCTAGCTCTTGGGTTAAGAAACAGCATTATAAACACCTGCGACATCCTGTGCACTGCCTGCTCCTCCCAGAGGGAGTCATTTTCTTACTTGTTAAGCATCCTTCTACTTTTTCAATGTCTGTATCCCTAAACAGTACACTTTCAGTTTAAAAAAATGAAGTGGGAAGCACTTAGTATGTAAGGAAATTGACTCTCAGGTGAAGGCTTCTAGGAGAAGATAAGCTAAGTAGTCTTTATGGGTCATTGCTGTAGATTGAATTGTGTTCCACAAAAGGATGCATTAAAATCCTAACCCCCTGTATATGTGAATGAGACCTTATTTGGAAATAGGAGTAGGCTGGGCCCTTAATGCACTATGAGAAGTGTCCTTACAAGAAGAGAACAGACACAGGCACTTAGGGAGAATACCATGTGATGACTGAGGGAGAATGGTATGTATGTCTATAAGCCAAGGGATACCAACAATTGCTGGTAACATCAGAAGCCAAGAGAAAGGCATGGGACAGATTGTCCCCCAGAGTGTTTAGAAAGAGCATGGCCCTGCTGACATCTTGATTCCTGATTTCCTGACTCCAGAACTATGAGAAAATAAATTTCTGTTGTTTTAAGTCACCCCATTGATACAACAGCTCCAGGAAACTCATATAGTCATGTTCTGGCTATACCTCTCATGAGCCTGTCCTGGAAAAGTCAGTGGTCAAGGTCATTAGGGAGTCCTGGGAAACATAAGGCTCACTACCACCTGAGCTGCAGTATATACCAGGCAGTGTGACAGAAGTCTGGACCGTGGGAATGGGGTCCTCTGTATTCCTGCCTGGGCTGACATGCTTTCTTCCAGCTCATAGGTCAAGTGTGGGACAAGTGTCCTCAGCTGAGCCAGAGAGCAAGCATGGATGGAGTAGAGTCTCAGAGTACATGGTGAAGCCAAGCAGGGCACAGAGAGATTCTGGGCCACTACTTCTCAGGGTTAAAAATGGTTCAGTAGCGGCAGGGACTTAGTGATGATAGCTTCAGTATGTTGGCCCCTTGAGTCACACTTACCACTCTACTGGCTGCCTTTTGTGTGTGATACTCTGGTCCTGGGATCACCTTTCACTGGGGATTCATTTGTTCCTTCTTTGTATTGAATATCCTGTTTCTGTGCTCCATCTTTACCTTTTTGTAAGTTTACCCTCTGGTTTAGCAGAACATATAGTTAGTAGCTTTCTGAGGAGAGCTGCCTGGGAAGTAAAATGTGAGGCCTTCCTTGCCTGAAAGGCCTTGAACTTTAAGCCCGAATCCCAAGCCAGCATTGGGTAAAGCTGAGGACCAATTTAACAGCAATGCAGGAAGCATTTAGACAATGGAATAGCTCTCTGTTGAGGACCTCCCGTATTTCTTCCTTGAGGTGTTTTCTGTTGTCAGAGTTGCCATAAAGGATTGTTTCTGTCTGAGGACCCTGGTTGCCAAGTGGAGAAAGGGGACCTCAGCCTTTAGTTTTATAATACTCACACCTTAATGCTATGCAAGCTTCCCTGTCCAGAGGCCCGGTCATACTTCGTCTACAGATCAGACCTCCAGACTTCAGTGGGGAGGAGGGCAACCATCTGGCAGCAGGGAGTTGAGGTGGGATATAGGGATCTTACTATTGTGCACACAACTTTTATCATTCTTTTGGTGAGCATGTGTTCTTGGGCTCTGAATTTCGCAAGGGCTTCTCAGTTTTTCCTCCCCAGCTAGTAGGGATGGGGTGGCTAGAGGGACCTGCAATTGGGTATTTCCCTTTCCACAGGTTGTTTAGGCTCTGATAAAACCATAATGTGCTCACTTTGGCAGCACATATACTAAAATTGCAACAACACAGAGAAGATTAGTATGGCTCCTGTACAGAGATGATAGGCAAATTTGTGAAGCATTCAAATTGTTAAGACATTATGCTGAGGGAAATATGTCAGACAGAGACAGGCAAATACTGTATTATCTCATATGTGGGGTTAAAAACAACAACTCATAGACAGAGATCAGACTTGTGGTTACCAGAGGCAGAGGATGGCAGGAGGGGGCATTGGAAGAAGGTGGTCAAAAGGTACAAATTTCCAGATGTAAGATAAATAAATACTAGGAATGTAACATACAACATGGTAACTATAGCTAACACTGCTGTATGATATATAGAAAAGTTGTTAACAGAGTAAATCTTAAGAATTCTCATTGTTACAGAACAAAGAGGGGGGCCTGGGATGATATACTATTACCGAAAGGAACCCCCGGGTCCATTATGTCTGCTGTCTATAGGAAAGATGTCTCTCAATGCCAGAGATTCGTGAAAAGGAAAGGAAATGTTTATTTAATGCTATACAAACTTAAAGTAGTGACCTAATGTCTTCATCAAAATCCCAAAGTCCCTTAAAACACCCACAAACAGACACAGTCCTTCCTTCCCCCTTTGCCCAGTCTTGGGTACTGTATCTCAGGAAAGGAAATAGAAGTCCTTGGCTCAGGCAGTCCCTGGTTCTTCCCAGTAATCCGTCTTGGCTGGTAGGCCTCTCTCAGTTCCTGGCACCATCAGCTATGTTGCCGGGATCTCTGCTAAAGCCAGGTGGTGGTTCCCCCTTCTAATGCAGCGGGGGTCCCCACTCCGGCAAAGGTGCATGGTCCTCTCTCCACCACTCTAGCTGTGTGGTCCTCTCTCCCCCAGGGCCACGGGAGTCCCCACTTCAGTCAAAACCATGTGGTTCTCTCTCCTCAATGACTGCAAGTTGCGGGGGGGGGGGGGGGTCACCACTCTGCCAAAGCAGAGTGGCGGTTCTCTGCTAAAGCCGCATGGTGATTCTCTCTTGCAGGGCTGCGGGAGTCCCCACTCTGCTAAAGACCGAGTGGTTCTCTTCCCAATGGCTGCCATGTCTCGGTTTAAATCCCTGCGCCAGTCTTCCTCTGCAGCCCCATTTCCGACTCCTCCCATACTCTATTACACCTGCCAGTACTCTCAAAGCCTTCCAGTTTTACTGGGCTGCCATCATGAGTCTGGGCAGGCGTGGTCCCTTGTCATGGAGCCAATCTTCTCCAAGCTCCCACGCAGGTGCTGTAACTCGGGGGACCTGCCCCCCAGTTACGTATTCGGGGGAAGTTATTTCCATTCCCCTGGCTGAGAACTTGGCCACAGCTATTTAACATATCTCTGCAACCAGTTAAAGGTTATAGATATGTTAAATGACCACGCCAGAGGTTAGCTGCCAAGCTGTTGCTGTGCAATACAGCTCTCAATGGCCCTGCTCCATTTGTCCCTTCCTCCAACCCACATGGGGGG